TGCACAGCAAAAGAAACTATCATCAGAGTGAACAGGCAACCTACAGAATGGGAGAAAATTTTTGCAATCTATCCATCTGACAAATATCTAATATCCAGAATCTACAAGGAACTTAAACAAATTTACAAGAAAAAAAAAACCATCAAGAAGTGGGCAAAAGATATGAACAGACCCTTCTCAAAAGAAGACATTTATGCAGCCAACAAACATATGAAAAAAGCTCATCATCACTAGTCATTAGAGAAATGCAAATCAAAACCACAGTGAGATACCATCTCACAAAAGTTAGAATGGTGATCATTAAAAATCCAGGGAACAACAGATGCTGGTGAGGCTGTGGAGAAATAGGAATGCTTTTACACTGTTGGTGGGGGTGTAAATTAGTTCAACCATTGTGAAAGTGTGGCAATTCCTCAAGGATCTAGAACCAGAAATACCATTTGACCCAGCAATCCCATTACTGGGTATATACCCAAAGGATTTTAAATCATTCTACTATAAAGACACATGCACATGTATGTTTATTGCAGCACTAAATATTTACAATAGCAAAGACTTGGAAACAACCCAAATGCCCATCAATGATAGACTGGATTAAGAAAATGTGGCACATATACACCATGGAATACTATGTAGCCATAAAAAATGAGTGCATGTCCTTTGCAGGGACATGGATGAAGCTGGAAACCATCATTCTCAGCCAACTAACACAGGAACATAAAACCAAACACGACATGTTCTCATTCATAAGTGGGAGTTGAACAATGACAACACATGGACACAGGGAGGGGAACATCACACACTGAGGCCTGTTGGAGGTCTGGGGGGAAAGGGGAAGGAAAGCATTAGGATAAATACCATGTGGGGCTTAAAACCTAAATGATGGGTTGATAGGTGCAGCAAACCACCATGACACATGTATACCTATGTAACAAACCTGCATGTTCTGCACATGTAACCCAGAACTTAAAGAGAAAAAAAATAGGTGGGGCGCGGTGGTTCATGCCTGTAATCTCAGCACTTTGGGAGGCCAAGGCAGGCAGATCACCTGAGATCAGGAATTCGAGACCAGCCTGGCCAACATGGAGAAACCCCGTCTCTATTAAAAATACAAAATTAGCTGGGTGTGGTGGCGCATGCCTGTAATCCTAGCTACTCGAGAGGCTGAGGCAGGAGACTTGCTTGAACCCGGGAGGCAGAGGTTGTGGTGAGCCGAGATCATGCGATTGCACTCCAGCCTGGGCAACAAGAGTGAAACTCCATCTCAAAAAATAATAATAATAAATAATAATAATAATTTTAAAAAGAAATGCTAGTTAAAAAAGATAAAGCAAATTGAAATGAAAAACATGTATATATCCTTCCTAAATACTATTTAGTATTGGTTGGGAAACAGTGTTATTCTCTTTTGGTAAATAAAACTAATTCAGGATGATAATTAACCTCTTTTAGGGGCCATAAATCTCTATTTCATAAAAATTAATGCTGTATGGTCCTAGGAAACAATGTATAAGGCACACACATATGTACATTTGTATATGATTTAGGGATTTACAAGTCCCTATACCAAGCATCTATGGATCCTAGGTTAAGAATGCTTGACATTTATAGAACAAAGACAATTATAGAACAATTTATAGAACTTTAGATAATTATAGAACAAAGTTCTAATATTCGAATGAATCTCTGCAAACGGGTATTCCAATATAAATGTAATTTAAAGCAAATGTAATCACCAACACGTACACACAGAAAAGCTAGTGTTAATACATTCTTTAAGTCCCAGGGCTGGAACCAAGGTTTGGTTTGAAGAATGGTATCGCTAATCAAAGTTAATGTCTCATCTAATTCAACCAAGAACTTTGGAAGAATAACTCTCCTTACCCTTACCTTAAAAACCTCTTTTGCGTGTTTATTAGCAAAAGCATAATAAGCGCCATTCATTTCAAAAAATTAAATGCTATAGACATAGTATTAAAACTAGAAATTCGGTGAAGGTGTTGATACAAGATAATCAGATTTTCTTTTCTTTTTTCTTTTTTTTTTTTTTTGTGACATGGAGTCTCACTCTGTCGCCCAGACTGGAGTGCAGTGGCACAATCTCAGCTTACTGCAACCTCCACCTCCCAGGTTCAAACGATTCTCCTGCCTCAGCCTCCCAAGTAGCTGGGACTACAGGCACCTGCCACCACACCCGGCTAATTTTTGTGCTTTATTAGTAGAGATGGGTTTTCACCATATTAGGCAGGCTGGTCTCCATCTCCTGACCTTGTGATCCACCTGTCTCGGCCTCCCAAGGTGCTGGGATTACAGGTGTGAGCCACTGCACCCAGCTGATGATCAGATTTTCTTTTGCTATCTTGTCTAACTCTGCTGTGGGGGGTTGTTTGAAATCTAAATGTTGCAAGTTATTTTAAAAGGAAGATAAATTAAAATCATTTTATGTGTTGTATTAAGTACTTTTTCCCCCAGAATTCTTTAAGCAATGCAAAAGTTCAAATATGAAAACAATCATGCATAATAAGGAATTTAATATTAGATGATGATACTACCCAGAAACAGTTAATAAATGCCCAAATTAAAACAGGCCTTACCTGGTAGTGATTTGTTATTCTTTAAAATAATATTTTAAAAATATATGTAACATTTTAATTTAACCAATTAAGAATATTTAAAGTTAAATATAGTTATTTGTAGTAATCATCAATAATTGAATCCATTACCATATTTCAATGTGAGGGATGTTTCAAATAGTAAGGCTGCAATCAGCACATCTTCTTTAAGCACTTTATTCCTTAAGTTCAGTCGTGCATGGGCTTCAGATAGGAAAACGCTAAAAAAGAAAATAGTTGCCAATCAAAATATGTTGATATTATAAAAATAATATATATTTTGGCAGGAACAAACCAAGACATATGTGAACCTTAGCCACACCTAAAGCATATTCTTACTTTAAAAAAATTTTTAGTTTCTTTTTTAGTTTCTTTTCTTTAATTTTTTTTTCCTACCAACTTAAATAGACTGTTCCAGAACAAGCCAGTATCCTATTGGTTTCCATCCTGGCTTTTATTTATCATTCCACACTCCCCTCCCGAAGTTTTGTTCAGATAAATACACAGTTGGGAAAATTAATCTAACTAAATATCTTTTACAGACAAATCCTTGACTTTTTCTTTTAATCCTTCATTTATCTAAAATCCTCATAGATTTCCAAGATTTTTGTTGGCAATTTCAGCATTGGAAGGGATCTTCGAATTCAAAGTTCAAACTTTCATCAGAAAACTAAATTTCCTCTACAACATCCTGGGCTATTCGTTTACCAGTATCTTTTGGACCTCTCCTAGCATTCATGGCTTCATGAGGCAATCCATTCCTTTATTTTTAATTTTTTAACCAACTTCCATTACTGAAAGATCTCTTTTAAGCAAATGTGATGTATCTGAATGATTGCTGAACTTGGGAATCAGAAAACCTAGGCTGAGTCTCTAGAATTTACTAGCTGTATGACTTTGTATAAATCATTTAATGTATGAGATTTTTTGAAACTCAGCTATAAAAGGGAGATAAGTAAAGGCATTTGAAAGTTTTGCAACTAACTATAACCATAACTAACTATAACCAAGATTCTATCAATCTAAGCTAAAATTAGTTTCACTGCAATTTCTACCCACAGGTCTCTTGTTCTGTCTGCTGAGACCTCTTAATATGATGCTCTTCAGATATGCAAAGATAACTTTTCGATTGCTCCGTGTTTTCTCTCCTTCAAGTTAAATATTTCTAGTTCCTTTACTATGCTATGAGACATAACTTTCAGCTCCTCACCATGATGGCTACTCTCCTCATGACCTGATTTGGTTAATACTCCTTTTCAGTACAGTACAACAGCGGTTTTGACCATCACAGTAGAGATGAGGCGTAACTAGCATTTTGTTGCTCTTGATATATATTCTATTAATATGACCCCAACTCTCAGTATTATTAATAGCCACATTACATTATTTACTCTTATTAAACATAAAAATAATGAAATATCAAATCCTTTTCATATTAAGCCATATTACCATTTTCTCATCAATTCACACTTATACTACAGAGTCTGGGCATCTAACAGAGGGCTTTACATTTATCCTATTAACTTTCTTCTTGTTAGATTAAGATCACAATTCAAGTTTGTGAAGTTCTCTCCAATATTGCTCATTTATAAATGTAATTATCATGTCTCTGATGTCCTCATCCAAGATCCTTCTAAAAATGTTGACCGGGACAGAATATGTATAGAGCCTTTAGAAAGTATTTTTCAGCTCCACTTCTCTAGAAAAGCAAAGATGCTTGTAATTAGGTACCTGTCTATAGAAATGGGAGAAAAATTCAAGGTTTATGACTCTTCTAGCTAGGGTTCATTTACTCTGCTGTTTCACAAACCACCCTTAGTATTTATTTCTACAATGTGAAAAAGTAGAATTACATTAAAATTAACTACTTTATTTTTGAATAAATAGCTGCATCACAGCTTCACTGTGTTGTGATGTAGCTGTACCATAGTTTAAACAGTCCCCTATTGAGAGACCATTTCTTTATTTGATAATAGTATTAAAGTGTAATCTCAAAATAATTGTGAAGTAGAACCAGGAGTAAAATAATTCATTAAATAAATAAATATATTGTTAAAACTGCAACATAAAATAAGACAGATGAAGAACTGGCAGAAAATGTCAAGTATAAATCTGTAAGATTTAGATATATTTAGTTAATTTCCCCAACTGTATATTTATCTTCATAGAGCTGAAAAAATGCTAAAGATAAGCCAAGTAGAAGTCAACTCTGATAAATGTTTCAAAATGGAAAACAGAATTGCATTACATAATGCTATTTCCTGAATTAAAATTTAAAATACTCAGATCAAATTATACTGTTTGCTTTTTTTTTTTTTTTTGAGACAGAGTGTCACTCTTGTTGCCCAGGTGCAATGGCGCAACCATGTCTCACTGCAACCTCTGTCTCCCAGGTACAAGCGATTCTCCTGTCTCAGCCTCCCAAGTAGCTCGGATTACAGGCATGTGCCACCACACCTGGCTCATTATTTTGTATTTAGTAGAGATGGGGTTTCATCATGTTAGTCAGGCTGGTCGTGAACTCCTGACCTCAGGTGATCCACCCCCTTTGGCCTCCCAAAGTACTGGGATAATAGGCATGCACCACCGCGCCCGGCTTTAAAAGTTCTATTTTCTCATAATGTTCTTTTCTCTATAGTAAAAATATGTTTTGTATTTGAACTCACATAGTCTCTGTTTACATATGAAAAAATATATATATTTTTTGAGACAGTGTCTTGTTCTGTTGCCAGGCTGGAGTGCAGTGATGCAATCTTGGCCCACAGCAACCTCGGCCTCCCGGGTTCAAGTGATTCTCCTGCCTCAGCCTCACGAGTAGCTGGGACTATAGGCATGCGCCACAACCCCAAGCTAATTTTTTTTGTATTTTTTTGGTAGAGACGGGGTTTCACAGTGTTGGCCAGGCTGGGCTCAAAATCCTGACCTCAGGTGATCCGCCTGCCTTGGCATCCCAAAGTGCTGGGATTACAGGCGTGAGCCACCAGGCAAGGTTTTGTCTTTTTTTGTTTTTTTTTTTAATTGACAAGGGGTCTCACTCTGTCACCCAGGCTGGAGTAAAGTGGCACATCTAGGCACTCTGCAACTTCCGCTTCATGGGCTCAAGCAATCCTCCCACCTCAGCTTCCTGAGTAGCTGGGACTACAGGCACCTGTCACCAGGCCTAGCTAGTTTTTTGTATTTTGGGTAGAGACAGGATTTCACCATGTTGCCCAGGCTGCTCTGTTTTTTGTTTTTGTTTTTGTTTTTTTTAAATAGAGATGAGGTCTCACTATGTTGCCCAGGCTGGTCTCGAATTCTTGAGCTCAAATGATCCTCCCACCTCAGCCTCCCAAAGTGCTAGGATTACAGGTGTGACCCGCTGCACCCAGCCCCAAGGCTGGTCTTGAACTGAGCTCAAGCCACCTGCCTGCCTCAGCCTCCTAAAGTGCTGGGATTATAGGCATGAGCCACTGTGCCTGGCCAACACCCACATTTTTTTTTTTTTTGAGATGGCGTCTCGCTCTGTTGCCCAGGCTGGAGTGCAGTGGTGTGATCTCAGCTCACTGCAACCTCTGCCTCCCAGGTTCAAGTAATTCTCCTGTCTTAGCCTCCCGAGTAGCTGGGACTACATGCGCGCTCCACCACGCCTAGCTAATTTTCTGTATTTTAGTAGAGACGGGGTTTTACTGTGTTGCCCAGGCTGGTCTTGAACTCCTGATCTCAGGCAATCTGCCCTCTCGGCCTCCCAAAGTGCTGGGATTATAGGTGTAAGCCACCATGCCCAGCCAACAGTCACATTTTTAAAAACAAGGATTTGCATTTGAAATCAGTGCACTTTCCTCAGACATATCTCGTATGTGGCATCCAATAAAAATTAGTTTAGTAAAAAAATTATTAGAGATTAAAATGATGTAACATGATATAACAAAAGGAATTGTGAAGCCTTTAGTCCTTTTGGAACAAGGCCATTTACAAACCAACCAACTAGCAGTCAAGCAGAGAAACAATTGAAATAGGTAAATTAGCAATTTAATCAAACACATCATTTGTAACTCAATGCTGATTCTAAAATCTTGAATTGAATACCTACAGATATTTTAATGCAGATGCCGACAGTTTTGATCCACATATAGAGTCTGTTCTGATTCTGCGACTTGCTAGATAATAGCCATGAGTCATTCTTTCTGCTTCCAAGCTGAATTCTACATTCAAATTCTTTGCAAAAGCCAGTAGCTAAAAAATGTGAAAAATCCAAGATAATCAAGCTTTATTATGGAATCAATATAACAGAAATCAAAAGTATACTGGCACTTTATTTTTACATGTTTGCATATTTTATTACATAAAAAAGAGTAAATGTCTGGGGCTATTCTGAAGTCACTGAACACTTTAAATATCACAGTGTTATACTTGTAAAGGATATTAAAGTTTACCCAGAATAATCTCCTCCCTCTCAGTGCAAAAATGTTCTGTGCAATATATTTGAATGACTGTACAATGTCTTTGCTCCCAGTGAAAGGCTCACCTCCCTCAGAAGCTAATTTTCCTTTGAATAGCTTTAATCACCTGATAGTTTTTTCCTCATAACTTTCTCTCATTGGCCTAGAGCTACTTGCCCTCCTTACTTCCCTTCCTTCCTTTTAAAGAGCACTTAACATTTGGTATGAGGGGAAACATTATGTTAACTGCTTTGAAGGTGGGCTTTGGTGATTGAATAAGATTTGGGTAGAGAATAATTCTGCAACACAATGATTATCACTGTTTTTTCTGAGTTTTGAGCTTTTTTTTTCTTTCAGAGTCAGTGATTCCTAGTTCCCAAAGTCCTTCTCTGTGACATAATTTCCAAATTTTTTATTATCCTAGTTATTTTCTACTTTTTCAATTCAGATAACTACAGGAAAAATTAACTATAATAAGGCTGCTGTTTTTTTCTGACACTATCTACACCTGGAGAAAAGTTGCTATTAACTATAAAATTTATATTTTATTATTTTATTTATTTATTTATTTTGAGACGGAGTTTCACTCTCGTTGCCCAAACTGGAGTGCAATGGCACGATCTCGGCTCACTGCAACCTCAGCCTCCTGGGTTCAAGCGATTCTCCAGTCTCAGCCTCCCAAGTAGCTGGGATTATAGGCACGCACCACCAAACCCAGCTAATTTTTTGTATTTTTAGTAGAGATGGGGTTTCACCATGTTCACCAGGCTGGTCTCAAACTCCTGACCTCAGGTGATCTACCCACCTGGGCCTCCCAAAGTGCTGGGATTACAGGCGTGAGCCACCGCGTCTGGCCTATTTTGTTTATTTATTTTTGAGATGGAGGCTTGTTCTATCGCCAAGGCTGGAGTGCAGTGGCATGATCTCAGCTCACTACAACCTCTGCCTCCTGGTTCAAGTGATTCTCCTGCCTCAGCCTCTTGAGTAGCTGAGACTACAGGTGTGCACCACCATGCCCAGCTAATTTTTTTTTTTTTTGTATTTTTAGTAGAGACAGAGTTTCACCATATTGGCCAGGCTGGTCTCGAACTCCTGAGCTCAGGTGATCTGCCCGCCTCGGCCTCCCAGATTGCTGGGATTACAGGCGTGAGCCATCGTGCCCGGCCTAAAATTTATATTTTAAATTTAACCTTTAGAAAAGCATAGAGATGGCTGGGCGTGGTGGCTCACACCTGTAATTCCAGCACTTTGGTAGGCCGAGGTGGGTGGATCACGAGGTCAGGAGATTGAGACAATCCTGGCCAACATGGTGAAACCCCGTCTCTACTAAAAATACAAAAAAATTAGCCAGGTGTGGTGGCAGGCGCCTGTAGTCCCAGCTACTCATGAGGCTGAGGCAGGAGAATGACTTGAACCCAGCAGGTGCAGTTGCAGTGAGCCAAGATTGCGCCACTGCACTCCAGCCTGGTGACAGAGCGAGAAAAGAAAAAAGAAAAGCAAAGCATAGAGACATGTTCCTAGACTGGACATGTCCTGGATTGGATATATATCCTGGCTTCTTTATTTTCTTTATTCTCCACAACTCTCTCCAGGCTTTCAGAACTGGATATACTATTAATAGTATCAATAACCCTCTCTAAGTTCTCTCTAAGATGGCACGATCATGAGCCACCAATATCCTCCTTCATGAAAGGACTTGTTGCCCAGCTACTGAGATTCTGTCAGCCCCTTTGGGGATTGCCTCAGGACAGTCCACATCACATGAATGATTGAGGCAGAAGTTGGGGAGGACTTTATAAAGTCCTCAGGTATTGACAGAAAAGCCCTCTCAAATACACATTGGCACACTAAACTCCATCTCAGTCTGTTCTGGAGAGCTCAGACTGCAACAAATTCCATCCACTTTGATTTGTGTAATAGATTTATCTTCCAGAGAAATCATTTTTACTATTTTACTTTTTACTATTTTACAGTTCACTCTACAACTGTTCTCTATAGTCTGACAAACCAACTATAAAATATTTTGCCTGTGCAAGACTTACTGTAAATATGCCAAAATCCTATGACTCCAAAATACAATTTTTGCTCCAGTCAAGCTGGTCTTATCGTTTTCCATGTATACTAATTTCTACTTTTATGTCTTTATTCCTACTGTTAATTCTACTTAGAACACCCATCCTTTGTGCATCTAAATTTTACCCTTTCTTACAGCCAGCTGATGTCCAGCCTCCTCCATGAAGTTTTCCCAGCTTCTGCATTCTATACTGATATCTTCCTTTCTGAATTCCTAAAATACCTCAGAGTCAGCACCACTTAACTTAGCACTTAAGTTGTTCCTTAACTATTTTATGTATCTTTTTTTTTTGAGATGGAGTTTTGCTCTTGTCGCCCAGGCTGAAGTGCAGAGCAGTGGCGCAATCTCGGCTCACCTCAACCTCCGCCTTCCGGGTTCAAGCTGTTCTCCTGTCTCATCCTCCGGAGTAGCTGGGATTACAGGCATGTGCCACCATGCCTGGCTAATTTTGTACTTTTAGTAGAGATGGGGTTTCTCCATGTTGGTCAGGCTGGTCTCGAACTCCCTACCTCAGGTTTCTGCCCTCCTCCTCGACCTCCCAAAGTGCTGGGATTACAGGCTTTAGCCATCTTGCCTGGCCTGTATCTTGTTTTTATTTTTAATTAAATGATAAACTAAAGGGAAAATTTATATATCTGTGAGAATATAAAAGAATGGAAATAGGCTCATATTTGTGAAGTATCCAGTTAATACCTGAATAATTAATAAATCTAGATTGTTTTGGCTTGTTTCTCAGGTAAAAAAAATGGGCAACATTTTTCAGGGTCATTAGCCTGTCCATATTTAGTACCCTAATTCCTACAGACTACTTTTTTCTTATATAATAAAACCAAAACCAAAACCTTATTATATTATAAATATTATTCTTTTTTCTATTCTAATCTATGTGAATAAACAATGTTCATAATTCATGTTTAAGTCGATTTTGCCTTTCAACCTTTTACTCATGCAGTATGCTTACAAGGAAGATAGATACAAAAAAAATTTTTAATGACTCATAGACCTCCACTTTCTGATATCCCCTGCCTTTTATCTATCATACCCAGACAAGTGAACTCTACTTGGACAGATTTTTGAATAGTTAAAAAGGTTTCAGTTGTAAATATGTGAGCACCTTTAATAGCTATGAGAATTATTACTAAATTTACATCACCTACTTTCAGGTTCTCTGAATATGTCACATATGTTTTGATAATGTCAGGGTAATTAATTAAAATGGGTTAGTGAATCATGCTATATATCCCCTAAAGTCAGGACTCGAAGGTAGTCATCTGAGGACAATCCCTTTGAATAGACAGTAAAATGTAAATAACTGTATATCTATATAGCCTATTATAATTTTCCATAGAAAAATTCTATGTTGGTTTTCTTTCATTGAGATTCTGTCAGCTGTGCTGATTTGGACAATGGTACAAAAATAAACTGAAAATTTTAATATTCATTACCTAACACAGTTGTTTCTTTAATTATAGCCCTAAATAATTCTAAATAATTTCTCTATTTTTTCTTTCTTTCTTTTTTTTTTTGTTTTGAGACGGAGTCTCGCTCTGTCACCCGGGCTAGAGTAAAGTGGC